AAAATTTTTATTTGGGACTATTAATAATTATTATTTAACTTGAGAAAGTACAAGGCTTGACACCGAAGTTAACAACGTACATATTTGGCACGCAATGGCGAAATACCCAGTAATATCAAATGTAATATTCAACCATTATTCTATATGAAAAAATTCCAAGAAAATTAAAAAAAATGGCGTTTATTCGAAATATATTAAATCGGTGAGATGCGAACTTGAAAACGTACCATCATTGAAGTATGATTTCATTATCTTATGAAATACTAATTTTAAACAAAAATTTAAAAAAAACAAACGTACTTTTCTATCGAAAATAAATTTTACTTGCACTTTTCAATGTCAGAATTATCTGATTAAAGCTAGGGATTTAAATTAATAGTGCCTACATTAGTATTGTCAAAATCTACAATAATTCATTGGTAGATAGATAATGATGTTTTAATTGGTAGATATACCGCCAATAAAAATTCACTAATTGACGAAACTCTAGCATTTACTCTAGCATTATTTAATCCAACTTTATACAAAAGAAAAGAAAAACTTTTGATGAAGTGATAAACAATAATCCAGTCAAGGCGTAGAGAGGAGTAATGAAGAAACCTCGCAGTTAGTAGAGATTAAAAGTGCTCAAGTGCACTACCTCTAATAGTCTCAACATAATAATTTTCCTGATGTTGTCTATTACTTTTTGTCTTTAATTTCTGTTATGTCTGATGAAAAGTCCGACTTCAAACCAATAAGATCCCCTTAAGTATTACCAGAATCAACAGTAACCCCTTAATACTTCATTATTTATTTAATAATTTTTTTTAAACATTCTTTATTGGATATGAGTAGTAAATATTTACTATTTGTTAATATTATTACTATTGCTGAATTGTACTTAATAGATATTAAGTAATACGTGTGCAAGTTCACTGAACCAGTGTTCAGCTCCCACACAAATAATTTATAATATTATATTTTCTATATTAACTCAGGAGGTTTTGTAAGCTTTAGGCCTCTCAATTCATTGGTAATATCCAGCAGTTGAATAGCTTCTACATTGATGTGATTGAGTAATTGTAACTCTTGGATCACCAAAATGCGTTTGCATATATGTTATATTGCTTATCCAAAATAATATTTCCTGAAGAAGTAAAACAACGTATACAGAATGTTTGTGAATATAAATGTGAATATAAAGCTCAAGACTCCTTCATAGTCCTAAGCCTTCATTTTGTTCCCGAAAGATTATATAACATACCTTATTCACAATAATGTTGAGAAATGGATATACTAATATCTCATGAGAATGTTCATATATAAAAATCTATGTCATGTTACACAAACGTAGAAATATAGTTTAATGTAATAACTGCTTCAAATACGGACACACCAAAAGCTATTGCCCCCTACGCTCAGTCTGTTTGATTTGTGGACAGCTGCATGCCTCGTTCAATTGCCCAGCTAAAAATGGAAATAATATTGTTATGAAATGTAAAAACTGAAAAGGTACTCTTACAGCAAACTATAGAGGGTGCCCCGTCTACAATGACTTGAATAAAATTACCAATGGACCTAAGACCTCGCCACACAATTTTGTATATACCAATAAACAATTGCCCCAATGGCCGCTTCTATTGTAACAACTAACACTAATGAATTCACTTACGCAAACGTTATGAAAAACTCTTCTAACATACCAAGCAATATTACTCAATCGTACTCTACCATACTCCTTACTCTACAGACGGTGATTGCTCAATAAGCAAACTCTATTTCACAAATTAATCAGCTTATGATTTCAATGCAATCGGTGTTCCATGAACTCCATAAAACTCAGCAGGAATTACTAAACTCTATTGTTTCAAAAGGAACTCCATAAAAATATGTCGACGGAACTGCAATGGCGTAAGCCAAAGAAAGCGTAAAATCCAATTATTTCTAAACACGAGTAAAATAGACGTTTTACTCTTATCCGAGACCCATTTAACAAATAAAAATCGCTTCTCTATACCTGATATAAATTTTATCATACTAATCACACGGACAACAAGGCTCGGAGAGGTATAGCAGTTTTAATCAAAAATCGTCTAAAATATTAACAAATTCGCTACGGATTATTTGCAAGCCACGTTCATTTATCTTAAATGCTGGCTGCGAAGTTATAGTAATATCGTCAGTTTACTGCCCACCCAGGTTTAATGTAACTCACACGCAATTTATCGAATTTTTTAAAACACTTGGCAAAACATTTATAGTTGCACTGGGACTCACGGCTTATTAAACCTAAACGCAAAAGCCCTTACTTAACACTCTAAAATCGCCAAATGAACCATGATTTTACCTTTTTAGGTAAACTCGCCTCGCCTGTCCTGCTAACTGTTTCAAATAAAGCATTCTGCTACGAAATACATTTAAACTTAACTTCAAACAAATTAACTGGATTAAATACCGAAAATACATTAGTAGTCACATAAACTTAAAACCTAAGCCCAGAAATGCAACAGATATGGACTTAGCCTTGTATGATCTAACAACTGTTATAACGACTGTTACTGCAGTGCGTGACAAATGTTTAATCTAGAAGGTAAGCTTTTAAAAAAAGTTTTAGATAAAGAACTGGACGAAAATATACAGAAATTTACAGATAACCTCTCAACTTCCGGAAAAGATAAACTGTCATTATGGAAAGCCACTAAGCGATTAAAAGGCCCAAAGGAAATTGAAATGCGGAAAGTGTTCGCAATCCAATAAAAGTCAGTCCTTATGATGTCAAGAAAATTATTGGCCAGATTTAAATAAGGAAAGCTCCTGGTTACTCAATAAAAACTCAAGATTACAGCTTGTTCATAAAGTCCTGTTATATAAAACTAAGATTAAGCCCATATGGAGTTACGGGACTCAACTCTGGGATAAAGCCAGCTCGCAAATATCGATGTTATACTACGCATTCAGTCAAAAATACTTCGTTCATTAACAGGAGCACCGTAGTTCCTCAGAAATTCCATCATACATATGGACCTTCAAGTGTCTCTAGTCAAAGACGATTTAGCCCTCTTACGGCAGAAATATGACACTAAAATAATGGTACATCCAAACCCACTCGCTCAATTTCTTAACAGAACAAGAAATATATCCCGTCTCAAAAGAGCAGTTTTTCCGGCATACCTTAATGCATCTTAAATGTATTAACACATTAAGTTAAAAATTTAGAAATCAAAAATTAAGAATCTTTACGTTTTAAATAAGGAAAGTATTGTATAAACTTTGGTATTGACATAAACTTTGAATGAATATTTTTAATATGTAAGATTTAAATAATTATTGTTAGATTTTTAAGTGATTACAATATATAAAAAAAAGAAGAGAAAACGACCGACATTTTAGCCTTCATCCGGAAGGCGCAATGTCTTCTGTTCAGTTAGGGTCTGCTGAAGCACAAAAGATCAATCATGGTGGCAGTGCTCTGCTCAAATGGGAGCTAGTACCCCGTTCTTTCTCTCTTATCTCTTACAGATCCATCTGAAGATACAAGTTAGTTATTTAAAATATAATAATAAACAAGTTTTTAGTTACACAGTTTTTTATTATTAGAATAAAAAGAACATTTAATTATTATGTGTAGTTCACTCAATAGCTCAAGTAGCAATCAGGCGTTCGAATAATATCGCATGATTCTACCTATAATGAAACCAATCGCAAGGGCCGGATTTGAGAGACCGTTGGTGTTAACTTACATATATGTACAACATTTAGAACAAGAAAAGAATTTCGATTTCTGCTTATTCTCGTATTCTTTTACTTTGTGTAAATTAATAAAATAATTTTTTTTTGCATTTTGGTTTTTTTTTTATTTAAATTTTTTGTTTTTTTTTTATAAAACTTTATATATATATATATATTATATTTATATATATATCTATATTAATTTTTTTTTAGTATAAAATTTATACAATCCATATTATAAAAAAAATTTATTTATGAATAAAATGTAGTTTTATACCTATAAATATACGTATTCCTATAATGATATACAAAGTTTTTTAATAGAAAAATAGGATGTACAATTTTGAAGTTTCTAGTACCCCAAATATGTAAATTTAAATTTTTTGAATACATTAAATGTTAAAAAAAAAAATAAAATTTTTATTTGGTTTTATAAGTGTTTAAAGTTTTTTTTTTGTTAATTTTGTACTGTTTATTCGAAAATTCATAACTCAATGTTAATTAAGCAAATAAATATACAATAACTTATATTTTCAAAAGTATTACATTTATATATATATATATATATTACGTGCAATACCTTTAAGTATAATATATATTATTATTATACATATATAACTAATAATAATATATTTTTTAAAGTACAAGTATACTTACTGAATTCGTAAGTATGTATACATATATTTATTAATCGTAATTATGATTTATTTTCTTATTACCATTTAAAATACTGAAATGGTGGCAAGTTTAGAAACAAAAAGTATTTCATAATTCAGAAATAGAAATGATATATTAATACTTTTAGAAATGTACTGAAGTGTGGGAATGTTATTTCAATTAGTTCAAAATTACAAGAACAGGTACAAAAATTTTTTAAATATTTTCGTTGTTAAAAAAACTTAAATTTCTTCTTATTTATACTGTTACAGAGATTTTTTTCATCAATAAATATAAACAATTTATTAAATGGTATAACAAAATTCCATAAAACGACACAAATAAACATTTGATAATTTCGTCAAGTGTAGTATAATTATTTTACTTTACAACACCGAAACAAAAAAATTGGTCTTATCAAAAATATTCTCTTCAAACATTCATGAAAATGTCTGGAGTCAAATACTTATTATGGTATCATTTCGATTATATATATAGAGATATTCTCTACCGAAAATAATAAGAAAATTTGTTATTTGAAATATGAGTGAAAAAATGGAAAAAATAAGTGTATAAAAAATGTCATAAACATAAAAAAAAATAGTAAAAATTCCATAAAAAAAGAGAAATATATCAAAAGTTTGAAAAAATTAAAATGTTTTCAAAAAAATAAAATTAATTGGCGGCTCTTGACATTCCGACGCATCTTATTTACTAAATCTTAAATACGACTTAAGTTTAAATCTTAAAATTACTAGAAATAAATGTAAATTTACACGTAACACACACTCGAACTCATCACTGACGTAAAAATATTAAACATAAGTTTAAGCGTATAAAACAAATTGATTTCTCTGACTTAAATAGAATTTGCAGCCAATCCGTACTGCTTTAAGGATATTTTTGTAAATTTTGTTGCAAGAGAACCGATAGGGTTCAATACAAGAGAACCGGATCAGCTTCGATTGGAGAAACCGATTGCGTTCAATACAAAAAAAATCGAAATATTTACATATATTAATATTAAGTTCATAAAATTTGTGAGTAACATTTCATTGTTTCGAGAGAAAAAAACATCGAAAACATCGCAAATTTGTGAGAAACATTTGAGTCTCAAGAAAAAACCTCGAAAACATCGCAAACGTTGTTAGGATAAATGTTTCTAAACCTTACACAATACGACTAACCAATTGCATTTTGCGGCGATTTTGGTTAGGAATTGCACTGATCTGTTGATATTGCGGCGAATTGGTAGCAGTCGTAAGATTGCCTCCATTAGTACCCAATGTCTGTACAATTACATGTTGCTGCTGCTGTTGCTGTTGTTGTTGTAATTGTTGGAGAGTGGATGCTTGTAATTTTATTGTTTTGAATCCTTGTTGTAAAAGCTGTTGCCTTTGCTGTTGCAATTGCTGCTGTCGCACGTGTACCAATTGCTGTTGATGCTGCTGATGTTGCTGATTCTGTTGAATTTGTTTTTCCAATTCAACAACAGGACCAATAGAATAATTGACATTTAATCGCGCTCGTTTTGGTGATTGATAATCAACATTTTGTTCTTGCTTCAATTGTTGACAGTGTGTAGCATTTATATCTGTAGGACTTAACTCAATAATATCAGCTTGATTTATTTCTGTCAACTTATCGCCATCTAATTCTATCGCATCATAATAATCACCAACCTAAAATATGAAAAACAAATTAAATCAACTGTATTTACCTAAACATTACTAAGAGAACTTACCTCAATATCAAAATCTTGTTGTTGCCCACTTAACTCTTCATTCTCAATCTTCATATGGTTCATAGATTCATTGCTAAACATTTCTTCCTCATCAATTTCTTCTTCGACGAACATATTATCAACTACACCTTCATCTAATTCTATATCGGAGGATTCTTCGATTTCTGATTGACTATCTAATTCGACATCGGAATCGCCTAAACTGCCATGTTTCATTTCGCCACGTTCTAATGCTTCCAAATTTTCTGGATTAACCATTGCATTTCGTATAGCCATAGAATCTTTACGAGAAAATTTTTGTATGTCTTCATCGAGTTTAGCTACACGATCGGGATTTGTATACCAAAGACAACCTTTACGTTGACTTCCGTTTGTGGCAGGTTTCTCAATTTTTTGAAAGCATTTATTCATTGATAGATTATGACGAACACTATTTTTCCATGGACTAGGCGCAGATTCAAAATACGGAAAATGTTCACATATAAAACTATAAATCTCTGACACTGGCAGTGAACCTCGGCGTGAATTTTTTAATGCCATCGCTATTAGGCAGGAGAATGAATAGGAAGGTTTCGGATATTTTGAGACATTCACAGGTGTCTTATTTCTTTGTTGAGTTTGTTGTCTGGCAACTGATGGTGCAACTGGTGGTGCTGTTACTTCGGTAATATTATTTGAACCTGAAGATATATGTATTGTATTAGAATTGATGTTGGTAATAGTTTGAGAAGTATGAACTGTATTCGACGTCGGAGAACCTAAATTAAGATTTTGCATGTGATGTGAATGAACAGCAGATGCTATGCTCTTTGGTGTAAATCCTGAAGCGGTCTGCGCAGCATTACGTGCTATAACCTTATTAACATGTTGACTGTTGCCATTCATGAGTAATGTATTGCCATTTGGCAATGGACTTGAAACACGATCACGTTTAGAAGCGATTGATGTTGGTGTACCAATAACTGGAGATCCTTGTGGGGATTTTACAGTTTGTTGTTTTAATTTGTTATATGTAATGCTATTTGCAAATGTTAAACCACCAATGCCGGGTGCCAATTTAATTGTATTAGTAGTCGCCGTATTACTCAATAGGCCATTGGTATTTAAAACAGTCTGAACATTGCCACTATTATTGCTCTGTATTATTTTAATATTATCATCTATAACAACATTTGCTGTATTTGAGGTAATTGTTGATGAAGCTTTGGCTAATTGTAGACCAAGATCTTTTTTGACAATATCCACAGACTGTACATTCTTGCGTTGCAATAAGGAATTTGTGGCTAATGTAGCCGGTGCTGTAGTGCCTGCAGTTACTGCAGATGAGATTGTAACTATTTGTTTCGGTATATGTGCTGAGATCTGCTCATGACGTATAGAATTTGCGCTAACCTTCACTTGAGCCGGCGAAAAGGTTAGATGTGATTTTGATTCATTAACATTAGGTGAGGACGGTGATGTTGCACGCACACGACTCGCTGCATTAAGATTCATTTTCGGTAAGTTGCGCATCAATGTTGGCGATATATATGGCATAACCGATCTTGGATTAACGCAAGCACCAACATCGGCATAAAAATCATTGGCTTGCGACCATGAACTTCCAGTACCACTTGTTGCGCTACCAGATATCCAATCACTAAACGAATACCGCGATTTATTACTGGAAGCAAATTCCAAATCATTGGAGTCTGTATTATTATCGCTATCATGAGGCGATGACATTCCGTCGTTTGCATATTCAAATGTGGACGGAAATTCATTAACAAGTGATAATTCTGCATTATCACCCACACAAGTTGCTATTTCATTACGTATGTCTACATCGATCATATCCTGTAATGAGTCGGATATATAAAAATCTAATGTAGGACGACAATTATCCTGCAAAAAAAAAAACAAAATTAAATGTTATTTAAATAAAAATATATAAAAATTGTTTATATGTTACAATAACCCTATCTATTTGAATAAAATATACATCTATTAGTTAAGTCAGGTGCAAAACAGATCAAGCTGTTCGCAGTGCATAAAGGTCTTAACCTAACCCATAAACCACGGACTTTTGCAGGTACGATTACCTGCGAATATTCGTTCGTTTGCAAGCGTTCGCTTTGGTGTGGAAGCATCTTGATTAAATTTCACGCTTTTCCTTTTTTTTTTAATATTTGTATAAAGCAAGTTGAGCACTATAAATTAATTCAACAAGTCCATATAGGTTTTGGACTGTTTTAAGACTATTTCAGAACACGTTAAATATCAATCATGGTGACATTGTCCCGCTCTCTGGGAGCTGGATCCATAGATGTTTAATATTTTGCATTGAAAAACATCTCTATAAAGTCGGTTAATCTTTTCTACATTGGCTGTGTATGTTGTTCCGCTCTCTGGGAGCGGGCCGCTCATTTATTTTATGTCTATCTGTTTCTATGTGTGATTTCACCTCCGTTCACTAAAGTTTAAACATCCATAGATGTTTAATATATTGCATTGAAAAACATATCTATAAAGTCGGTTAATCTTTTCTACATTGACTGTCTAATGTTGTTCCGCTCTCTGGAAGCGGGCCCCTCATTTATTTTATACCCATCTGTATATCTGTTTATTATATATGTATGTGTTGGCGCCCCGATTCGGTAAACTTTAAATATACATAGATGTTTAATATATTGCATAGAAAAACATCTCTATAAAGTCGGTTAACCCTTTCCGAAATTGACTGTGTATATGTGTATGTGTATATGTGTATGTGTGTTTGTGAAAAATATAAAAATTCTAATTATCATAAACAAATTTGTTAATGTGAAGAAACGAGAAACAAGTGTAAGGAAATTGTATTTTAATAATACTTAATTGCATGTATCTGCTTTTTTGTTTGTAAAAGTGAAGTCAGTCTGTACCCCATTTCAAAACTTCATACCAATTAAAATTTTGTTGCTTCACTTCTGGTACAGTCTTAAGGTTTCCAGCAATTTTTTTCTTTATACAATAAATAGAATAATAATAAAAATAATAATAATAAATACGGGAGAAAGTGAACTTGAAGTAAAAAAAGTCAGGAAGAAGGCACAATAATTCATTTGTATGCAGTCGAACATAAATCGTTCAGAATGAACACGAACCTACATCAACAATAAATAAGACAAACACCATACACACATACACGCATACATACATACGATTAGAATCAATCTGAGGAAGACAAGACAAGAAGAAGAAGCAGACAAGTATCAATCCCATCCCATCCCGTCGACGTAATTTATGTTGTTGCACATTTTTGATTTTCTTTGGTAAATCTAATTTTACTTTTGTTATTGTTTGAATTTTCATGTTAGTTTGTGGTGCCAAGATAAAAATAAAAGCAATGTAAACAAAATAAACAAACAAAGCAAATAAAGAAAAAAAAATAATAATAAAGACTAAATACAGGCTACAACTGCTAAGATCACAAAATTTTCTTTCCCTTTTTTTTACGTATAAAAAGACAAATTCACAAATTCACTTTAATTTCTTTTACATTGCGCCATGCCTGATTCCTTCTGTCTGAAGTCGAAATAATGCACAACTGCTGCTTGCACACCCTGTATAGTATAATGCATTACAAACATGGGAATTATGCAAGCGCAGATAAGAGCATAATTTTCCCGCGCACAAACAAAACCAAGTCGAAAAGTATGAAGCGAAGAAGAAGAAGAATGAAAAACAATAAGAAAAGAAAAAAAAACACAAGCAAAATAAATGCAAACGTACACATTGAGAAACGTGTTTTTTTTTTCTTTGTTCACATTTATTCGAAACCGGTTTCCACTATTCGTAATAAAACACACACATGAAAACAAAAAAAAAAAATTAATGTTAAAAAAAAATCATTGGAGGAAGAAGTAAATTTATTTATATTTTTTTAGGGAAAAAAAGGCGCAACTCAAACTTTATTCAGGTAAATGCGATATTCAATAACAATTGTAAGGCAATCGGTTGAATTCCCAGACACCCTACGCACATCGAACAATATTTATATTAATTATGTATATGGAGTTTTGGTATTTAAACAGAAATCCATATCAATTTATTAATTTATAATGACCAAAAAATTCTTAATAATAATTTTGTTTTTTACGGACTAATTGATCAATAACTTAAATAATAAACTTTATAAAAAATTTTTGTTTGTTTTTAAAAGATTTTATTTTAACCGATATTTCGACTATAATCTATAGTCGTCATCAGGATACTATCTAGAAATTCACCTAGTAGTATAGTTCCGTTCCTTATTTTTATAGTTAACTTTAAAATTAATTTTCAGGTAAACGCGATATTCAATAATAATTGTAAGGCAGTCAGTTGTATTTACAGATACCCTACACACATCGAAGGATATTTATATTAATTATGTGTATGTGGGGTTTTGGTATTTTAAGAGGAATCCATATTATAGTTTATAGGGAAAAGGACCTAGTAGTACAGTTCCTTATTCTTATAGTTAACTTAACAATTAATTTTTGTGTTAACTCACAAATAAATACATAAATTAAAATTGATTGTTATAATGACCAAATCTTATTTATATATTTTAGAATAGGCTAATGACTTTAACGTTTACAGCACCATCTTCAGAGTACCCTGAAGACTATAGTCAAAATATTAGTGATTTTTTTTAATAAAAATTTATAAAGTTGTGTTTTAATTTTTTATTTTAACTTTTATATGACACTAATGACTATTTTTACTTTAATAGAAACTGAGGTATTTAATAGAGAGGTTTCGAAAAGTAGTGGACTACAACAACAAAAATTAATTTTTATTTTATTTTAATTAATTGAATTTTTGGCTGACCATACCAGTTGTTTCGAGTTTTGCCAAATATCTATCATTAGTGATCTTAGAAATTATTTCTTATATTTAATTATTCGTAAATAAGTTTTTGAGACTTCATGTACAAAGGGTTGAATTCGTGCTCTGCCAAATTTGAAACTCAGAGTCAATGCTCATTAGCCAACTGACCCAAACCCGTATTTGACTTGTATGTCCGCACTTTTTGCTGCAGTTTTGTTAATTTGCTCTAAAGAAACATTAACAAATTCACTTGATTTGTTATATTACAACGATCGTAATAGTAAACCAGCTGTGGAATAGTTGAATTAATTATTCCATAATATTAGTAATTAAATTAAAATGTTGTGTATTAATTAAACTTATTTTTTTTAATTATAAATCTTATAAATTTTAAATTTATTATTTATTTATTTAGCACTTAGGTAGTAGGGAAAAAATAAATGTCCTACAAAGATTAATTAAATATTTTAAAACAAAATCAATTTAATTGATTTTAAATTTATTAAATTAGAAGCCAAAAATGCAAATAAATCATCCGTGGTCACTTTGAGCTAGGATAAGATAGTTTCAATTCAATATTTCTTACGGCCGTCTCAGGGAGGACTCTACTTTATTTTATACTATTTTACTTATTTATTATTTATATACAATATTATAAACTATTTAATGTATTTAATATTTGTGAACTATATTTTATACTTCTTATTTCTTTCTATTATTTATGTTATATGACCTTTATTTTAATATTTTTTTTAAGTTTATAGTTTTATTTAATATACATATTTAATTTTATTTATTATATACTTTTTTATTTTTAACTCTGGAATATAATTCCTTAACCCTTTTCTCTCCTGCTCACATAAAACAACAATAACACACATTTTAAGTAATGTGTACCGCCATTAACTACCTTAAAAGACTCTTATTTAATATCGTTTCAAATGTATTTATTCATAAATAATCTCGATCTGTCACCTATACCTATCTATACCTACATTCTCATATATTAGGATATGCATCATTTATAATATATACCCCAACATATGTCCTTTTGGTGGCATTTTTATGTTGAAATTTTGTTAGGACGTATGAGTGTTAAATAGTTAATTTATGTGATTTTCATTGATATAAATATCGGCATAGTACTGCCTTCTCCTATTAACTCGAAACACTTCTCTCACCGGTGCTCCCACATTACTAACCCTTTCAAATAATCTTCTTAATTATAATTTTTTCAAAGCAGCAGAAGGCTTAGGAATCCACGTAAAACATAAAAAAGAAAACTAAATCGAAACTAAAATGCGATTTTATAGGAAGAGTTGAAATGAAATGTAAAAATTGGCATCTGATAGAGTTCAACGAAAGTTATTTGCTACTGCCCTATATATATCTTTTAGATATGTTAAGGACTAAATATATAAAATAATATAAAATAATTTTTCTAAGCTTATCCTATTTCAAGCCGACTTTCGTTATGCGATATCTTCAGATCGCACGACTTTGGATCGACTCTTCCTATACTCGTACTTGATTGTCCTATCGTTTTTAATAGCTGTTTATCTCTTTCATCTAAAAAATTGTTCCTTCATATAGTGTTATGATCCTCTTATTACATAACTGCACCAGCGTAAATACACTTTCATCCATTCTGTATAAGTCCTATTCTGTTTATATATCGTCATTATTTTTTGTCTCCTTGTCTTATTCTGTTCACGCTATTTTCCATGTCCTCTCTGTCTACATCCTTTTCTGTTCACTTTTACGTCTAAATTCTTTCTGTCTACGTCCTAGTTTTTTTTTTTTTTTTTTCTATGAGCGCCAGGATTTGAATGCGCTTTTTCTTTCTTTGGTTTTCAACACACCAAAAAGAGGACACAACCCAACTAATAGTTATGTATAAGTTTATCAGTACTATTTACTCTAGTTAAAGTTGTATAACGAAAAATTTTTTAGATATTAAAAACTATATTGAGATCTCTTCTCTAAGGCATTTAAATATATTTCTAGAGACATATAAGTTCCAAGTAGAAGTCAATTTTTATAATCAGTAA